GGGGACAGATTTTGTTTATATGGGTTTTTAATAGCAGTAATTTTCTGTAGTATTACATCATCTCATTTGTAAGAACTACCATTACGTGTGCCTGTAGATTACAAGTGAATGCCAGATGTCAGGGAATAGTCAAGAATTTCCCCTTGCTAAGGAGGGAGAGAGATGATGTAGCAAGGAGAGAAGATTTGGCTTCAGAAATAGAGGCGTCATCGAGTGCAGGTGTATACTGGGTCTGCCCGGGTTAATCCGAGCATCAAGACTTCCTCGTGAGGGCAAAGCCACTGATCTCTAGGCTGGAACTGGAGCTGGAGTTTTTTCCTGATCTCAGTGGTTGTTTTGTAAATCTTGCAGTTGGGGTGGGAATTCTGCTTCTGAAAAGTTTGGTCATTTGTCCGTTTCAATGTGGGCAGACAGAATGAATTAAAGGTGGTTAATTAAAGGTGGTTAATTAAAGGTGGTTAATTAAAGGTGGTTAATTAAAGGTGGTTACTTAACCTTGTTCAGGAGGCCACGCATACGGATGAATTTGACTGCAGCTTGAAGGAGGACATGTCAATGCCTAATGCAGCTTAACCCGCTGAGTTTCACAAGGATTTTGAACACCCAAGTTTTGAAAAGTTCAGCTTAAGCCTTTAAGTTGACTTTCGCAGCCCTTACCCCCCAAGTCAAGAAATGACTCCTGGAGCTTTAAGTTTTATCTCTGTTTGCGTTTGTAGCATGGCGGGGTTGAGTAGGGTATGGAAAGTTTCTGTTCGGCAAACGCCGCTAAGCAGAATTATTTGGAAAGGCAGCATAAAGTAGCATTCCGCAATAATTCCCGTCCTTGCTCAGCACAGCCAGTTATTGAAGCTGTTGCTTAAGGTGAGAAAGAACCAAAGATGACCAACAGCAGCATGGCTGTGTCCTGAATGGCACAATACGAATTAACATCAGCCTGAAACTTAGCTCGGTATCTGAAATAACCCGGGAAGTGGAAGAGGGAATTCTTCTCTCCACACTGGGGACCTGGCTTGATTGCTGGAGCTGGCTCTCGGTGCTCTTGCCAAAGATAGCAGATGATTTTTAATGGCCACACCTATTGAGGATTGTTATTTTATGTCTCATCCAATAAAGGCTAGAATAAATGTTGTTCTGTTTCAGTATTCAGTACAACAGGCATGGCAAAGGCTTCCAAAGCTAACAATTCTTCAGAAAAATAACTGTGTTTTGGGGAGTAGCAGACTTGAGCTCTTTATTAGGCTAATGCTTGCATAATCTGCCCGTTATTAATTTCATTAGTATTTATTGTGTCGACTCTAGTTATAAAACATACACTGTCATCTTCTTCTGTTTGGGTTGTTTTGGTTTTTTTTAAAAATGTTTTTTTGCATGGCCTTACAGTCCATTAAAAACTCCATTCCTTCTGGAAGGCGACTCTCGGGGGTGGTCCTGGTTAGTTGCCGAGAACAAAGCGTGCGCCGGCCTTTGCTCCCTTCGCTCGTGCTGTAGGGCAGTGGGGTTCTCTTGCCCGTGACGGTGGCACATTACCGTTCTCAGCAGTGCCATGGCTGGTTCCTTGTCTGTCTGTCTGTCCACAGCTTGCGCCTAGTGCTGCACCTCTGCTGACTCGACCCATTGTTTCATATTGCGCCCTTGTGTCGGCACAGTTTAGGCAAAGTCTATCCCCGTTCCTATCCTAGACAATGCTGTTGGAGGTCATGACGTTCAGGGGGTGCCAGCACTCTTCCAGTATTCCAGTAGTAGTCCCGAGGACTTGATCTTGCTAGGTATATTTTTTGATTCCTTTATTCATTCATGATGTGTGTGCTGAAATAGCAACTCACAAGGAGGTGCAAATAGTAGAATCGAAGTGGCTGGTTTGCCTTCCCCAAACCGAAAAGTTAAATAAAGGCCAAAGAAGCAAAGAACGCGAGACCTGAAAAAGGGCGCCTGGGCTACTTGCACTTTGCATCCGAGTAGATAACAGCTAGGCTGTTGCTTGGGAGCTCTCCACTGCTTCTTGCACGTGCTGGCCTGTTCTGTGCAGAACTAGCAAATGGACTGTCTGAAGCACAAGCGTGTTTTTCAGAAAGCCACGGCTGTTCAAAAAGCACCTGGTTGCTTAGGGAGTTCGGCGATTTTGCCTGAAGAACCCCTGTTAATCAATCAAATTATCATGTGCAAGCAAGCGTTATATAGCGTTTCTGCAATTTATATTACTGCATAATTAAAAGTTAGATTTGTTGAATTTATAGAACGAGTGGTTTCCAGCATTTACTGCTGAATTGCAGCCAGCGTTTCTGCAATTTATATTACTGCGTAATTAAAAGTTAGATTTGTTGAATTTATAGAATGACTATATTAACTTCCAACAGGGAGGCTTCTGGAGTGGTTTCCAGCATTTACTGCTGAATTGCAGCATCATCCCTAATCCTAGGGAGAGCCTGAGTTCAAACTGGCACACGTGGCGTTAATGAAAGCATTCTTGATTTTTTGAGATTGTGTTCTTTTTGTGAAGGAGCTCCTGCTTTGCAATAGCCATCTTTCCTTGTAGGGCATGCATGGTTGGAGGCTCCTCAGTGTCCTCACAAGAGCAGACTCAAAACTGGCCAACTTGCTGATTTAGAGCCTACGGTATTATTGCTGTCCCCAGACTCCAGCCAGCTTCATGAAACCGCAGGAACCAACCAAACAATAGGATTTGTTTGGTAAAAAAGATTTTTCCTAGCCCTGAAACATGTCATTTGCTGTACTTCAGCGATTAATGGGGAGGGAGGAGAACTCCACTGCTTTGAGTCCAGCCTCGAGGGAGCACATGAGCATTTGTCCTTGGTCCTGTGAACGGGGGTGGCTAGCTGGTTCAGACACGGCAAACTCCGTTGCTTGGGACAGCTTTACAGACCGGTAAATACAGCTCCCAGGAGTAGCGTTCACAAGTGGCTCAAGGTTGGTCGCCAAGACATTCCTGGCTACCTGAGGATTGCTTTGTCCATACAATTCATAAAATGAGCTGTGAGACTAGCAGGGAGCCCCCATCTTGAAGTTGCGCGTAGGAACTCGGTGTTCAGCTAAAACTAGCGGCACTGACGTGTGGTGATGAAGTTCACTGTGGTGTGACTTCATCTCTTCATCTTCTGAAATGAATTTCTGCTTGTCTGGTACTCTTCCAGCTCATTGGTGAAAAGTTACCACGACGCCTTTCCCAGTACTGTATGGGTTTCATATTCTACTGTAGACTGTGGAACCCAGAACTGCTTGGAGGTTTCCAAAGCACTAGGATAGCCTAGTGAAGTTTTGGGTTGCATGACATTATTTGAACGTTTCCCAAGCATTTTTTCTGAAAATGTGTTTTCAAATAAAATGGAAGTAAGCAGATAGTTATTTTGTGTTAAGTAAAAGAAAATAGTTTTCCCAGAAGCAGATGTAGTTTGAAAACTCCTGTCCCATTTTATACAGAATTAAAGGGAAATGTTATTAGGACGAAATCGAACCAGAGACTTAATGAACCATTGTTTTAGTACAGTTCAAAATACGTACGGTCTGTCATTCTCATTGCAGCTGAACATCCAAGAAGAATTGAAGCAGCTGAAAGCAAGCTGAACACAAACTGAAAGTTTTACTGCTTGGCTTCAGTTTTGTCTGTTAAAAACTTCCAGTCGCTCCTTTCAGTTGTCTCGAATTTGTGGAACGTGAAGGAAATGGGTGATAATTAGCAATAACTTCAGTGAGATAATGGTTAAAAGAATCAACCTCTCCAGAGCTTTTCCTATCTTAAAAATGGGGGGCTGAAATTTTTAGAACGTTTCTATTCTATATTGGGGAATAAGGACTGCGGTCGATTCCCTTATGATCGAGTGCAGACGAGCAATCTTGAGACCATCAAATGGATGTTTTTCATTTCTACTTTTCCCTCGCAGTCTCTCTGTAGACAATAAGGCCGTTGACAGTTCCACTGCCGTGTCGGGCATTTAGTAGAGTCTTGCAACTGGCAAGTCATGCAAAGTCTGAAGATCTTGCAAACTAAAATACTTTAAAATAATGGTAAAACATTGAAAACAATTTGTTTGAGTTGTAGAGGACAAGCAAAAGCATGGCAAGGCATGCTCCGTGTCTTGTGAAGAACTTCAAAATGTAAAGGTACCAATAAAACCTTTAGGAAGTGAAAAGAAAGAAAGAAAAGATTGGCAGAGGAGTCTGGTGTGGAACCAGCGTTTCTTGGCCATGTACAAATTCTTTCAAAGAAACATTTGGAAAAGTTTCTTTGCAGTATTTTTATTGTGTTTTTCTTCATCAGTTTTGTTGCCAAAGTAATTTAATGTGGGCTGAATGCTTGCACTCTCTCCTTCTCTTTAAGTTATTTTGACATGAGCATCTCGTCTCAAAAAAGGCAACTTTTATCTGTCAGACAGTTCAGGCTGTTTGCAGCAGAAGGGCAGCAACTCTCATGTGCTGCAATCCAGGCAGATTCCTGAAGGCTCTGGACCAAGGCTATAGATCCTGGGGCTCGGGAATCTTTCTGCTGCTTTGCCGTGGCAAATGGAGGCGGCTGTTGCCTCGTTAGGCCGTGATGATTAGTGAGGGCGGCAGAGGAGATCCTGACTTAGAGATATCCCAGGAGCTACAGAATATAGTAAACCCACTTAAAGGTCAGTGGTTAAAGCGGTTAGCGATTCATATGGCACCAAACCCAGTAATAATCTGGAACTTCTGTTGAGCAATGGTGTATGTTTTAAGAGCAGAAGAGTTGCATTAGTGGAACAGCTAATTGTCCATCTGGCCTGATATCCCAGTTCTGGGTGCTTCAAAGCAAGGTGTTAATCTTCCTTTCCTCAATATACTGTGAATTATCTAACGCTAGAGCCACGGTGGGGTTGGAGCAGAGGCGATTGCATTCTGATCCCAGCTGGTGATCAGCTTATGCGGTGATGATAAGGATTAATAGTCCCAATAATTCTTATATAAGCTAACAGCAGTTGATATTTATTCCTTTTCATAATGGAAATTATATTTATGTTTTGCAGACATCAACCAGATGAGGCGGAATCTTACAAACATTCCAGCAGCTTTTTGAACTTTGCTGACTAGTTTGTCTCAGTAGTCGAATTCACTCCTCTGCAAGTCCTGTAAATTTGCTTAAACCCCTCGCATAACGGTAAGATCTGAATCTTTTCATCCATAATGAATGAAGTCCTATTATGTCTAACAAGATTGACCCCAATCCTCCCACACACGACACAGAGAGCTCCATCTGTACAAATTTCAGTAAGCAATATTCCTCTTCACTCTAAAAAGTCTCCAATTGTCTGAGTATACCCATCTCTGAAACTTCTGTGGATAAGGTGAGCAGCCACCACAAGCGCTTCTTCGGTTTGCTGGCTCGGTTCAAGAAGGACACAGAAAAGTTGTGATGGCCCTTTGCTGGTCTACAAAGACCTCGGGTGGTTTTTGATAGGGGCCTTCCATTGGTCTAGAAGTAGAAGAGTAATTGGTAGTTGGGATTAAATTTTTGGATTTCAAGGCTGGGATTTCTTTGCAGAAGCAAGCTCTCTATCTCCCCTTCTAATTTAGTAATGCTATCACTTCCTCCTGTTTTTTGGATTCCTTCCAATCTAGTCTTAGCAGCAGCTGTGACCAAATGTGTATCTTTGTTAAGCTCATTTTGTAAATCATTTGTGCTGTATCCCTTTTTGAATCCCGAAATGACGTTCTGATCGCAGTTGTCTGTTCCAGATTAATGGGCAGGATGTCTGGATATGGAGCTTTCTTGTGCTAGGAGGTGAAGAACAAACAGAATTTAGTTCTGTCTCATTTCTCTCGCTTCCTTCCTCGCCGTGCCTTTGGCTGAAGCCTCTGGGCAGTTCCAGCTGTATATTTTGAAAGCCAAAGTCAATGACTTCCTTATCTCCGAGGGAATGTAGGGTTGGACAAGGCCACATGTCACTGGAATCTAGCATTGCCCTGACTATGCGAAAACAAGATCAAAATGTTGTTTTGTAGCACTGGCAGCACTCACTTCAGCCTTGCTTTAGGTCTTCAGGATCAAAAGAAAGAGCTGTCTGTGACGACCCTATCTTAAACGCCATTACACTTCCCAGGCAGCCTCCCAGCTGTCGGAAGGAGATCAAAGATGCAAGAGAGAAATCTGGCTATCCACATCCTGGGAACTCTGCACGTCTGAGACGATGTGGCTGCAGTAGCTGTGAGCCAGCCTCGTGGCGCTCCTGTGCCTGGCCCTATCAGTAAGTATTGGGTTTAAGGTAGCGATGCCACAAGCATACCTGCAGAGGAGCTGCGTTGTGTGGCTTGCTGCGCTGTGACATTTATTTCCAGAGCGAGGTGGCTGACTGCAGGAGGCTCACGGGGAATACTCATGTTAAATCAGAGACAGAGGAGTTGTTGAGAAGAGTGAAATGCCAGAACTCAAAAGCATGCACCCTCCTAGCTCAATGTAAGTGCAAAGTCAAATGTATTTGCTTAAACCACGCTCTAGATAACAGAGTGACTTAAGCTTAAGCTATGAGGATGGTTTTTATTTAACTTGGTTTTCTTTTTTCTTAAGTTGACATTTGTAACTACCTGACAGGAGGCTGTAGTGAGGTGGGGGTCGGCCTCTTCTCCCTGGTTACAGATGATAGGACGAGGGGGAATGGTTTGAAGCTGCGCCAGGGCAGGTTTAGGCTAGACATTAGGAAAAACTTCTTCACCGAAAGGGTTGTCAGGATCTGGAATGGGCTGCCCAGGGAGGTGGTTGAGTCCTCATCCCTGGAGGTATTTAAAAGAAGGACAGATGAGGTGCTTAGGGACAGGATTCAGTGGTGGGATGGCAGGGTTAGGTTAAAGGTTGGACTCGATGATCTCAAAGGTCTTTTCCAACCAAAGTGATTCTATGATTCTATGATTCTGTAACAAAGTGAGACTGCCCACATTGATAGGACCATGCCTCAACTGCGGGCAACAACTTCTTAGGATGTCCTCATAGAGATCCTTGTAAATACACAGCAATTCCTTTGGTTTTTAGGTATCTTCTTCTTTCTTGCAAATGGACCTGATTTTAATTGCTGTCAATGTTGACAAACTCTTCTGACAGGCATTGGTTGGCTTTCTGATAGCAAAAACCAGTTACCATTTCTGATGCCCGCTCTTGGTTTTCTATAGGTCATCTTCATACATTGCAAACTCAGTCCCAGAAGCCTGATCCAAACTGTAGCAGGGTTTCCATCAGGCCCCGAGTCCATACTGTGTTCTTCCCTTCCTGTGCTTCTGGTGAAACCGATGTTGAACAGGAACTGCAAAATCCATTGGGAATTCATGCCATGGCTGCATGGGGAGGTCTCTCATACTGCGTGCAGCCACCCCGACGGGCAGCGAGGGGCACTTTCTCCTTGTGGTGTTTCACCCGCTCTGCCACGCGCTGATAACAACCGCATGTCCGCTTCGGTCATTGCCCCTGCGGTGCCAGTGACATGACATGAAGTTAAGTGTTAGGTCACCTGGTCGTATGCATTTAGTCTCTACAAAATACTCCGTTTCTAAATCCATTAAACTCAAAATGGGGCCCCCTATTGTTTGTACCTAGAATTTTCAGTCCTTTGCCTTCCCTTCTCTCTTTTCAAATAAGAACCACATGGGAGGCCTTTAATTTTCTGCATCAGAACCAGAGATGGGACAAAATGTCAATTTGTTTGCCTTTTTCCAGCATGCGTTGCGTTCACAGACCATGAAGAAGTCTGTGTTCTACCCAGGGCCATGGAAGCCATTGCCAGATTTTGGCTTGATGGACCAATGGTAATTTTCATTGGGTGCTATTGTCGGACTGAAAAACAATCCCTTTATATGCCAAACCTGGCCCTCACTCGGATCGCTACTAGGATTGGCAAACATTCCAGGAATCTCATGTTCTGACTTAATTCCAGCATTCCCCAGTGATGCAGTTATTACTTAGAAAAATATGTTCCATTTGAAATGAAACACTGGCCGTGGTCGTGTGCATTTGTGTAGCAGCTTTCTCCCTGAAAGATCCCAGCTTATGTTCCTGACCATAGGTACTGGATCACCTCCTCTCTGGCGCAGCAATTACGATGTGACCGGGGTGTTTCCACCTGTGCTGCCCACGCTCAGCAACCGCTTCTTCAGCGCAGTGGTTAGGGCTGGAGCACAGCCGGAAAGTGAGACGGCACGGCGCTTCGGGAGGGGAGGGGGAAATCCGCTGCAAGCAAAGACCGGAGAGTCTGAGGATGACCTCTCCCTCCTCTCCCTGTTGGAGAAGCACAAGATGTTCTTCAGCAATTAAACATGATGAAGGCTGCTGTTTTGTCTCACCCGACGTCGGCAATCTCCCGCTCTCTTTAATAGGATGTATGGCTGGTTTAGGCACTGTAAAATAAAATCCTAGGCTTCCTGAACTTAGCATCCTCCAAAAAGTCGAGTCAGCCGGAAGTTCAGGGTTCGCTGGGAATATGATCTTTAGGCAGTGGCTTCAGCTGAAAAGGAGCAAGGCGTTCTTCTTCTGCATGAGCAGAGCCATGCGCTCCAGTGCGCCTTCGTCAGGGTTCGGGCGCTCCTTATCACACCTGATCCGCTGGAGAGTCCGTGCATGAACTTCATGTTCGGGGAACGTTTCTCTTGCTTACGAAACCAAGTTATGCTGCCCTTGAGTAGCAGTATTTAGCAATTCAGGTCACTGCTAAGTGCATATTGGATCGAATAACTTTGTGGCTGTTGTTTATTTTATGTTACTTGCATGATTGGAAGTTTGCCCTCGTGAAAACTCAAGGCAACCTTTTTGGGTTGCGTAATGCTTTGTGCAACTTCTACAGCTGTGGCCAGGGCAGGAGATAGGGAAAGTGTTTGGGGTTTGGTTTTGGTTTGTTTTTTAAATTTATTTCTTATATGCAGTTCTGATAGGATGCTTTGTTCCCTTTTTTCTTTGAGGCCATATTTTCATTCTGTTTGCTGGTATTTCTCAGTATATTCACTTGACTTGGACGCATGTCAGTTCTGAAAGGCAGCTGAAGAGACAAACTCTCAAAAATTACACTTACGCGTCTTATTTTTGGTCTGTGCCCATGTAGGATGGGCCTATACTAATATAGTAGGTGCTATGGGCCTGGTCTTTATTTCTTGATGTTGATTTCTCTTGGGTATACAGGAAAAATGCTTCTCGTCATTTTATAAAGAGTAATTTCTGTGTCAGTTTTCAGCTATAAAAAAATGCAAGCTTCTTTCACGCAACCGAATTGAATATTTAGGCAGATTGATGCATCTGTTTATCCTGAGACTGATACCAACATGAGGTAAAACATGAGAAGGTTTACAGCAAATGCCTTTCTCCTCCTCAGATTGAGATGAACGAGACTCTGTCACTTAAACACTTAGGCTTGCAGTTGTACAATTTGCAAGGACTGGTGGTATATAAAGAAAAAGTAGCTTTTTTTTTTTTTTTTTTTTTTTTAATGTGGAAACTTAGCTGCTCTTAGAATCAGCTCTAGTAAAGCTGGAAAATATGATGATGATATTTTCATAATACAGTTAAAACTGGGCCAGCCCGAGTGGCACCAAGCTTTCATGCACAGCGCCCAGAAGCACCCATTGCCAAATTGTACGGAGCCTGATCTTGCTGATGGCAATGGGAGGAACAGCAGGGCAGAGCTTGTTCCAGTTCTGTTAACGTGTCTGTGGTCTGTCCACAGACACCGGCACTGGGGCAGAGAGTGCCTTTTACTTGTGGTGGGTGATGAAGCTGGAACAGAGCTGGGAGCTGGTGAGGGTCTTCTGAAGTGTTTCCAGACCGAAGGGAGTTAAGATGGGTCACTTCCTAACAATGACACCCACATCATAGCCTTAAGGGGGTCACAGAGTTTATTTACAAGTTAATACAAATATTTTGTTTCTCTGCTCCTTTAGAACTTTGGCATGGTTGTTCTCAAAGTGAACTAATAATCTCCCATAAAGCCACAGAGCAACATTTGGGGACTTGGCACATTCACGTTCCTTACATGAAGCGAAGTCCCAGCGAAGGTGGTGGGAGTTTGTCAGAGGACTAGAGAAGCGCGTCTTTGTGCACGCGACTCCAACGCAGCCGACAGATGGGTACTGGTGGACTAAGTCGCACAGCAGTCGG